ATTCATCATTTGAGCAAACATTTTGTGTGAGGAGTGTAACGCACACGCGTTTCAAGCTTTATTTGACGACTTTCAAGTTCACCCATTACAATAATCGTTAAGCTTGTTAACCAACCTATTGTTTATATAATTATAATGTCAACTTTGAAGCCTAAATTTCAAATACCATTAAAATGATTCGAATTTATTTTGATTAAAATGGTATTGTTATTAGAAAAGTCACTATGAAATGCAAAGCTACTAAACTTATGGCAAGCATTAAAAGGGTCCAAAAATAATATAATGTTACTTTGAACAAAAAATTCAATTAATACCAATTTTATTTATTTAAAATAATAAAAGTATAAATGGTCAATTTTATGAAATCACTTTGAAGTAATTATTACGGGAGCCCATCGTTTACCATGAATTTAAATTTTCTTATCCAACAGTATTGATGCTACAATTTGACTTGATTCAAAACAGTTACTATAAGTGAAACAAATATTTATTCAAGATTTATTTACAGATTTCTTAAAGTAATTTCTTATTGTCGCAGCGAAACGTGTTAAATTGATTTGAAGCAAGTGTTCAGACAATGATATTATTTCAAATTAATCACGAAACGCGATAACTCGGAAAGTTTCTTGCGTAAAATATTATACAACAAATTTTCACAATATATACTATTTATGCCTCAACTTGAGATCTCGTCTATTTACTATACACAAGAGACATGTCGTCACAACTTACACGATGGTGAATATTCAAGCTCTTAAGTATCCTGAAGATGGCGGTAAAATATCTTTACTAAAGAAAATGCATCTTTTCGGAATATAATATTAGATTTACCATTTTTATATTATTATGAATCATTATTTTAAATTAAAAAAATAAACGATCATTATATTTAAATAATAAAATTTAAAGTTAGCGAGAATGCTGCGCAACTAAAAAGTACTTAATAAAGGAGTAAACCAAACCATAAATATTATTTGTTTTTAAAAGTTTTTTGAAAAATACTTTGCTAAATCGTTAACGCAAAAGAATTAAAATTATAATTAAAAGCTTTCTAATAAGCCAAAAATATTATGCAAGTTGTTTAAAGATTTTAAATCATAATTCACGAATATGGTTAAGTTTCGCTAAACTAAATTTTTGAAAAGTTTGGAAAATATGTAATAGAATAGTTCCTCAGCACGAAGTGCCGCAGAATTGAGACACGTAATGTTTTATCGCGCATATTGTATCGTAACATAATAAATATTAAGTAAATTTTAATTCAATTAATGACATTAATGAATTACTAGCGTTGTTCAAAAACTAACGCTTAATTTTAATTTTTTTTTTTAAAAAAAAAAAATCGATGATCATTTGACATCGATTTAAAAAAGTAGAATTGATTAATCATTAATGGTTGGACTCAAGTCAACTCATCTTACTCGAATCAAGTCGAGTTTGATTTTTATGACTCGAACAGCACCTGAGTCAAAAACTCGATTATATCGAATAAACCCGACACATGTCAATTCGAGTGCATATGACTATAACTCGAGTCAATGTGGTTGCTATCTCAAGTGGATATGGATTCAAAAATAAAAAATTAGCTGCGTTTATTTATTTGATAAATAAATCGCTAAAGAATTAATTTCAGTTCAAAAGCCCATTAAATATGTTTAAAATTATTCTCGCTTAATATTTAAAAGAATTAATGCAATAAACATAAAATAAAACAAAAATCTGACCAGACTGATTCTTCTTCATTCTTGGAATATAAATCATTAAAGGTTAAGGGAATGAAGTTTCTACACGGCTTCTCATTTAGAATTTAAAGGTTGTTAATTATAATAAATAGTTTCAACTCTATATTTTGACATATTTTATAAATTAATGCAACAATTTATTTAATTTGTTTAAGAAGTTTTTTATTGGTCATCACAAATTCTTATTGGAAAAAGTTTCTTTAAAAAATGAGATCATTGAAATTATTATCTTTAACTAATGCCCAGCAAATTTTAGTAGTATGTATTCTGCCAATTTAATATTCCAATAATAAACTCGAATTACTCGAATCAAATATACAATAACTCGAATAAACTTTAGTTATAACTCGAGTCAGAAATGACTTAAGTTGATCTGAGTTAGTTGAGAGTCAAGTCCAATTTCGAATAATGATTCATCGTTTCTCGAGCTAATCGATTTTATTTAAGTTTTTATTAAAAATTTTATTTATCATCAAAAAAATAATTTATATTATTAATTTATTATTTATCTAGATTTTCAAAAATTTATTCTTTAATATACAGTAATTTTTTAATAAACTTCATATTCTTCAAGAGCAGTTTATTCTAGTAAATTAAGTTCCTTTATAATGAGGCAATTTAACATTCTTTATTATTATTTTTTTTTTTTTCTGGTACCGAAGTGATGATTTATTTTTTTTTTAAAAAAATTTATTTTGATAATCTTTCGGCTTGTATCCTTTCAGAAGTCGCGGATATCCTTTTTCTTTTTTACTTTGTTGATCACGTATCTTAAATTCTTTTTTCAAGTTGGAGGAATGGTAAGGAATTTTTTTTCCATTACTTTTGTTTTTTTGTTATTTTTTATAGGATCATTCGAGCAGTGATCTTTATTTTTCTGTTATTTTTTTCTTTGGTTTCGGTATTTTCTTTCATATATGAACTTTTTTATTACTTATTTATTTTATTTATATTTTTGACATTTTTGACACTATCGCTATTATATCAAAAAAAAATCGAATTTTTTAGTTATATAATTTCATTTCTCACCTATAAAGAAAAAAAAAAAATAATTTGTCTTTATAATTAAAAGGAATATTCATACAAAATCACAATTTAATTTACATTTTGCAGATCACAGTTTAGATTTTCCATAAATTATGCCCAAGAATAAAAATATGTTTCATTACATTTGTATTAATTTAATTTTTTTGATATTAAAATTTATGAAATACAATAATATAATTGCAAAATTTATTTTTTATTTTGTAAGTTAATGATACATTCTCAATTTACTTTACCTTTCAACATTTTATCAAAAATTTATATTAATTTTTTTTTTTTTTTTTCGATGTGGCATCAAAAATTTATATTAATATAATTGATATCTTACTTTGTCATGCACATTTACGAATGTGTAACATATCTACAGCGTCGATCATATTCTATATAAAGCCGGAGTTTTCACACCGTTTATCTTTTTCTGAATATTAATAAAAAATTGGTTTGGGCTGAAATTAATAGAGCATATGCATTAACTGATAATAACACAGACATAAGCGGCATGAATTTAGAAAACAAACAATTTGCACAGACTCATCGCTCACAAAAGAGGAAAAATCAGAAGCAATAAAATTATTAATTCAGTCTCATGACTACGAAAAAATTGTCTCAAATCAAGGAATAAAAAGAGTTTGTGAAAACTGCAAACTAGAATGTTTAGCAACATCATATTGTGAGCATTGTATTCGAAGTTATTTAAAAGCAAAATTTTCAGAATGGACATCTGTAAACAATAATTTAATACAGAAATGTCAGTTGGAAGCTGTTCTTCCATTTAAAATTGTTGAATGGATCCCATACAATAATATACAAAATATTGAATATTTAACTAAAGGTGGATGCTCTGAAATTTATAAAGCAGTTTTGATTAATGGTTCTTATCAAAAATGGGATTCTATCGAACAAAAATTAACAAGATCAGGTAATTCATATGTAATACTCAAAAGATTGGAAAATATTGAAAGTGCTAACAGAATTTGGTTTGAAGAGGTATATAATTATAAAAATAATTAATTATAGTTTCGTTTAAATTAAAAATAATTATTCCATTTAATAGGCTGAATCTCAATTAACATTAAGCAGCAAATGGGGAAATTTCGCTCAATCTTATGATCTTACTCAAAATCCACAAAATAAAGATTATTTTCTTGTGATAGCCTTATTCAAAATAGATTTAAGAAAATATTTACAACAAAATCATAACCAACTTACATGGAAACAAAGAATCAACATAATTGGAAGCATAATCATAGCAGTTTTACACCTTCATTATGAAAATTCTATTCATAGAGATTTGCATTCAGGAAATATATTATATTCTGAATATACTGGTAGATGGTATATTAGTGATTTTGGATTTTGTGGACCTGCTGATAAACCATTAGGAAGTATATATGGAAATCTTCCTTATATATCGCCTGAAGTTATTAATGGAACAGGATATACTTTTGCATCAGATATTTATAGTGGGAGATTTCATCTGGACAACCACCTTTTGCTTATTATAGCCATTATTATGATCTAGTAATGAAAATAATGAATGGAATGAGACCAAATATAGTAAATGGAACTCCATTGGAATATGCAAATTTAATGGTTCAATGTTGGGATGCTGATCCATCAAAGAGACACGATATTAAAAACCTTAAAGGTAAAATTAATGAAATACAAAAATCGTATTATCAAAATGAAAATGAAGAACTAAACATTAATTTTGATAATATACAATCAAATGCAAAACCGAATATAAGTTTAAACTCTAATAGTTCATTAGTCAGAACATTTAGTAAACTTAACACTTTTAAGGATTTACCTGAACCAAGAAATGCCACTGAAGGTAATTTATTTAAATTGTTTATGTTTATTATTAAATGAAATATTTCTTTTTAACTTACAAAAGAGCTTTTTAAAACATTAAAGTTTAATTTAATATTAATTTTATATTTTCTTTTTTTATAAAATAAAGCTCATAATAGCATGCATTACAGTCTTAATATTTCAAATAGTAAGTAATACTTGTTTTATATGTAATCAAAAAAAATTTAAAATTAATGACTACAATAAAAATTTAAAATATCTAAAGTTCATAAGAATATAATATATATTTTAATACTTTGTTTTAAAATTACGTTAAATAATTTAAGATTTTATATAATTTATATTTACAGATATTGGCAAATCTAAGAGCAATTCTTATAACTTATCAACGGTAATGAGTCATTTCGTTATTATTAAGCTTTTTAAATACTAAACTTGTCATTATAATTTTTTTTTACTTTAATTAGAAAATCAAGGAAATTTTAAAAATTAAGTCAAACAAAGTTAAACTTATTAATAGCAACGGTAAGTGATAATTTGTAAAGTTTTATTTAATTTATAATATTTTCAACACTAAATTGTTTATTTTTAGAAATTTATCATACAAATGATTAAATCATCGCATTATAATAAGAAATTTATAGATCTAATTATTTATTACTAAAGTAACAATTTCATCATGGATATATAATAATTCAAATGTTCAGAAGATCAAGATGAATTAGAAATTCCTGAAGGTAAAAATTAAGCAAAATTAATTTAATACAAAGCTTAGTGTAAAATTTCTTTTATATTTGAAGTAACCATTTATTGGGAATTAATTTGTAATTTAAATATTTCTAATATTAGTTTATTTTGTTTAAACATAATGTTATAGTATAGTAATATTTATAATAAACTTTGAAATTTAACAATTTAAGGTTGAATGCCTACAAAAACTATTATAATCAGCTTTAAAATTTCAAAGTGCTATTTATAAATTTCATGAAGTATTTTTGAAATTCAAAAGTAAAAAAAATTTAGCACAAATAGTAGAACCATCAAAATCACATTTATAATGACACGTCTTTGTATCCACGAGTAATTTGAATATATGGAATGCCAAGATGTCATCCAACAAATCTTCTAGTAGTAATCTTTTAAAAGATATTAACTTTTTCTGGTGAAATATGAAAAGATCTCATTGACTTTACAAAAAGCCTCCTACTTCATGATAAATCTTGTGAAATTGCAGGGATTTGGTGCTTCGTTGACTCAATTCCCAAACGATAATTTCGTTCAATTACCAATTCTTTTTTATAATTATTCCATCAAAGGTGCTTATAAACAAAAAAATATATCTGATTCAAATATCACTCCAGGTTCGGACAAATTTTTATAAGCAAATCTTACAAACTTATGTGAATAATTCATATTGATAGATCAGAGTTCCTATAGGTCGTGTTGAATCAAGTATTTTTAGATACAAGGGATTAAATAGTTCATCTACTACCAACAAGAGCTCTTATACATCAGGATCTTTTAATTTCGTCAAATCATCCTTTTCACAATAAATGTATTTAATGATAATTTCAAATATTTATAGCAATTTCTTTTGATAATCGAGTTCGCGCATATTTCATTAACATTGTGAACTGGCATAGATAATAACGTCATAATTTATTTATAGAATCAAAATTTTTTTCAAAAAATAATGTCCCATTATTAAACAACAAAGCAAGTCTGATTCCGAAATTAAATAAAAATTTTAATTTTACATTATGCCAATAATTTTGAAAATAAAATTTAACAAAAGATTTTGAAACTGAGTCGATCGAGTTTATCAATTTTATAAAGGATATGGAATTTTTTTAATTATTATTATATTTTTCCTAACCAATTTTCGGTCTGCTAATAGTGTTCACCTTTTTTTATAAAGAATTATCTTAAATATTTTATGAATTAAAGTAGGGATACTTTTTAATCTCTCATGAATCAAAAAAGTAATTCATTATGAACTTCAAAATGAGCATCTCAGCTCTCAAATAGTAAATTGAAACAAGACGTTAAGTCTATTTGATATTTTTATGATTATAAATCCGAAGCTAATTCCGGTTCAATTTTAAAATTGTCAGGCAGCTAAAATTAGAATTGGTTCCAGAACAGATTTTTTGGTCCTACTTAACAAATTTTTCTTAAAAAAAAGAAGTTAAAATAAAGCTAATTGATTCTTGGAAGATTTAAAAAAGGAACACAAATGTTGTAAATTGAAATTTCTGGTAATCTTTTTTTTTTGCAAGAAATTTATTGATCGACCAACGAAGTTTATTTTGATTTTTAAGTATCAAATGCGATATATATTCAATGATTGTCATGTATTAATGAGATAAATAGATGTGAATAATGTTTATTTGTTGTTTTTAATTAACGCGTTATTTCCTTTAACTAAAAACTCTTCTGATCAAGTTCTTTATCATATATACCGTAAACATATATACTCCTATGCCCAAATGTATATTATTCCAGTCAATGTTTCAATTTTTATATCAATAAATCAATAGTTTATGATAACAATTCAATTTTACTATAAATCATCTACAGGAATATTTTAAAATGTTCTATTGCCCCGTAACGACCTTTCCGAATATACATGTATATATTACGGGGCGAAGATAATTGAGACGTAATATTTCAGAGTATCACCTTTGAATGTCAGTTTTTTATTTAAGTAGTTTAAATAAATGATTTATTTAATTTGGAATATTAGTCCGTGAATACTTCGTTAATATTTTATATGCGAATAATTACGGTAAAATTTTGAAGAATACTAATCTACGAAGTATTTTGATCGTAGTACTTCTTAAATATTACAGAGCCGATAAAACATTCGGAATACGTAGTTTACTGCGTAATACATAGTAATCTTACTGAACTGTAATACCTGCGGAGTACTTTGCTTAAGAAATTTTCTTGATTTATCTAAATTATTTAAACCAATGTTATTTATAAAACAAAGTAAAAACCAAACATATTGGTAAGAACAATTACTAAATTAAAATAGTAATTTGTTTGTTCTTTTTATGTCGCGAGAGGATTAAAAGTTCACTAGATGAAATATACAAACTTTAATTATTTTAAAATTTTAAAACCGCAAAACGTTTTCAATTATCATGTCATTATTCTTTAATAAATTCAATTATTCTGCAAACTTTGACGTTTTTTAAAGAACGTGTCGTAGTTAATTGATTTCGTTAAATGTCGTGTGTTCATTATTCTTATTTTTTGTAGTAATATTTGTATATAGAACGTGTTAGATATCGTACTTCTTCAGATAATATATATGATATGCTTCTATTTTGTAAAGAGTATTTTTTAAAATTAACGAATTTTGTGAAAAATACAGATTGATTGTGTTGAAAATTTACATTATATACGTTGAAGGACACATGATCATTATTATGCAATGCATAAATACCCGGTTAAAAATTTATCTATATATGGTATAGTTACTTTATGATCACCTTAAAATAAAATTTTTAGCTTCTCTTCACAATCAAAATGTTTTTCAAACTTAAGTAAAAATTATATTGAATTATTGGATGATGATGAATATTATAATGTTACTTTGGAAGTTGGTGAGGATCCTAATGTAAAAATATTCCGTGCTCATATGAATATTTTGTGCTATCGTTCTCCATATTTGCGTCGAGCTTTGGCTTCAAATAAAAAAGGTAATGAGAATATCTTGACTCATTTGAAAATTGCCAAATATTTCACCAGAAATCTTTCAAATCATTCTAAAGTAGTGTTTATCAATACATAAAATTCACACTGTTTATGATGATTGGAATGAATATTAAATTTCGATACTCCCCTTGTAACATAGATATATTTATGGTGGCATTCTTTCATTTAATGAGCTAGATGTTTCGGAAATTCTTAATGTCTTGATAGCTGCTGGTAAACTATTTCTTCAAGAACTAGTAGATTTATTTAATAGAAAATAGAAAATAAAACTGAATGGATTGAGAAACATTTTAATCTTATTCGCCAAGAAAGCTTCCAATCTGATAACTTTTTAGAACTTCGAAAATTTTGTACAGAATTAATAGCTAATCAAATCACCTGAAAAATAATTTAAGTCACCAGACTTATCTTTTCTTTCTGAAAAGTCTTTAATATCAATCATCGAAAGAACGATTTACAAATGAAAGAAATTGAAGTTTTGGATCATGTATTAAGATGGGGAATTGCACAACATCCAACCCTTATTACAGACCCCGTAACTTAGGTTGATGGTTTCAAAATTATGACAAATACTTTACAACGATGCTTACCTTTGATCAGGTTTTTTAGTTTATCATCTAAAGAATTCATAAAAAAAGTTCACCCATTTCAAAAGCTTTTAAAACGTCTACTTTATGAAAATTTGTTTAAATTCTTACTTGGATCCTTATTCTGAGCCAATAGACGACATTTTACTCACTAGCGCTAGGAGTATCAAAAACAATAAAGTCATTGATGCAAAAATCATTAATATAAATGTTGTTTCAATGATTTCAAGATGGATTGATAAAGTGGACATTAAATATAAGCTCTCTCATTTAAGAGAATTATATTTACCATATAAATTTAAATTACTATTGATGATGGAATCGAGAAGGATTTAATCCTAAATCTTTTCACAAGTTATGCCTTTTACTGTCACCTTCATTAAAATAAAACGAACAGAAGAAATAATTGGTGGATACAATCCTTTAATATGAAAATCTACTAATGAATAGGGTAAAAATAGTCTTATATTTTCTTTTAAAACTAAGGATACTTTATCAAAAATGCCATATTAAGAATGCAGATTAAATTATCACAAGATTTAGGGACCTTGAAATATGGTCACCAGATGAATTACTGATTATAATTTAATTTCTTATCGGAAAATTTATTATGAAAAAATGATAAAAGATGAAAATGAATTTTCAATAGAAGATTATGAAGTCTTTCAAATTATTAGAGAATAAAATTTTGTTTTAAAAAATTTCGGTTTTTTTAATGAATTATTAGAAATTTGACCAAATAGAAATATATAAATTAATAATATATATATTGAAAATTTTTAATATAATGTCATCTAATAAGAATAATAAACTTTCATGTAGGCATTTTTTTTGTGAATATTGTTGCACGCAGTTCGAAACGTCTATAGGTTATAAACAAAAGAAAAAGGTTTCTTTATTTAATATTTTTATTTATAACAATTATAACAATTGAATTCTAACATAAATCTACGTAAATAAGGTATTGCCTCAATCGTCGGCGCTCTATATAATTAGATACGTAATTTATTAATATACTTTCATTATCGTTACAAATAGAAGGAAAGGGGATATATGCTAATGTTATCTATCGTTTATATCTAGGGAATATATGGAACACTTGATACGTTCTATTCAAGCGAAATCCCACCTCTTTTATACTTAAAACCCAGCAAGGACTAATTGTTCAGATGGCTTTTTGTGCTCGAAACATAATGGCCAGATGGCATATTTGCCAGGAGACAAATTGGCCGGTAGGCAATTTGGCCAGAGGACAATTAGGCCATTGGTCTACAAAAAGTCTAACTAAATACTAACAAAAACTTAAAATTAAGCTTAAACAAAAAATGGCACACAATGCCCAGAACACGATCAAATGATTTAATTATTTTATTAATATATTCCTGTAACAATATAATTCTTAGTTTTCGTCAATAACTGATAAGAAATTATGTTAATGAATATTCGCTTAATAAGTTTGCTGTAGGGATAAAGTGTTTTCAAACATTTCCCTTAATGGCTAAAAAAATAAAGCATGATCATACCGGGAGTTGATAGTGCTGTACTGATTGGCCAAAAAATTTCATTGATGGAATATAAAAAGAGATGGTTCAAACAACTCTCTCATTTTTTGCATGATTTTTTTGATTTTAAATAAAAAAATTAATTGAGTTTAAATTACAGTAAAAAGTAAAGTATAATTAAACAATAAAAATAACTTACCATCTATTATATTATTAATCATTAATTATTTTTTAAATAAAAAATTCAGTTGAATTTAAATTATAGTAAAAGTAATAATTAAATACTGATAATTAATAAAAATAGCTTACCATCTAAAATTTTAATTGATTTTTAAATAAAAAATTCAGTTGATTTTAAATTACAGTAAAAAGTCTAATTAAATACTGATAATCACTTTAGTGATATTTTTGATTTTAAATAAAAAATTTAGTTGAGTTTAAATTACAATAAAAAGTATACTTAAATACAAATAATCAATAAAATTAACTTACTATCTATTATATTAATTATTTTTTTAAATAAAAATTTAGTTGAGTTATAGTAAAAAGAATAATTAAATACTGATAATCAATAAACATAACTTATTATCTATTATATTATTAATTATTAATTATTTTTTAAATAAAAAATTTAGTTGAATTTAAATTACAGTAAAAAGTATAATTAAATACTGATAATCAATAAAATAACTTACTCCCTTTAGTATTTTTTGATTTTTAAATTAAAAATTTAGTAGA